TTCCTTGGAACAAATGAATAAAAAATTGGACCAAAACTCACAAAAATTGGACCAAAATACACAAAGCATAAAAAGCTTGGAACAAAAGGTTAATTCTAATACAGAAGCTATAGAGACATTAGTTAAGGAGTCCAATGCAACTAGACAGACTGCAGAGGAAGTTAAGGAAAAGATTGTTACTGTTGAAGCGAAGGTAGCACAACTGGAAACAGAGGTCCCAGATGTGCAGAAACAAGTACAAGACCAGAAGTTGATGCTTTCTATGTTTGAGCTCAAGGAGAAACAGACAAATTTGAGAATTCGGGGAATACCTGAACTAGAAAAAGACTCTTTGATAGACTATCTTACAGAGGAATTTGCAGCCTTCTGGAACCGGGATCTGCAAAAAGAGGAGTTTAAAATTGTGAGAGCCTTCAGGCTTGGAAGAGGAGGGAAGAAGGAGAAGAACAGAATAAGAGACTGTTTGATTACACTCCGATCTAAAGAAGAGAGGGATAAAATCTTGAGTTGGCATTACGAGGAGGCCTTGGCAATACACCAATTTAGAGTGGAGATATTTAAAGACATCCCTAAATATCTTCTGGACTTGAGATTTAACTTCAGAGATCTGGTGGATCTGTTGAGAAGGAATAAAATTAACTTCAGGTGGGAATTTCCTCAAGGCCTATCCTTTAGTTTTAAAGGAAGAAAAATAAAGATAAGATCAGTAGAAGATAAAACAAAGTTCCTGTATAACTACGAAGAAGACCTACAGAAGGGAATTGGAAAAGAGTCAATAATATCGGAAAGACGATCACCAGACAGAGGATTGGAGCAAAGAGTTCGGGAGAAAACATCACCAAGTAAGGGTACCCTGGACATTTCAGCATTGTCTTTTGGACTGGACTCCCCTGTCAACGAACCAGTGTTACCACCAACAGAAGAGGAGCAAGCTCTGGGGGCAGTTGGGGGAGCACCAAAGTAGCCACAGGATGGCGCTGCAGGCCTTGAGCTGGAATGCGAATGGACTGAACAGCTCGGAAAAAAGGAGGAGAGTGTTTCATTTGTTGAAAAAAAGAGCAATTGGACTTGATTTGTTTACAAGAAACACATGTGACAAGGTTACACAGGAAGTTACTGAGTAACAAAAAATTAGGCCAAGAATTTATTTCATCGGATAAAGTTAAAAAAAGAGGAGTAGTCCTCTATGCAAAGGAAAGTCTATCACCTAAATTTATCTTTAAAGATGAACAAGGAAGCAATTGAAATCCAAACACAAGGAGATAAATTTTTGATAATAGGCATTTATGCACCAAATGAAGGGAAATCGGAATTCTTTAAAAAGTTACATGAAATCTTGATGGACTATTTGGACTACAATATGATTCTGATGGGAGATATGAATGGTGTTGTATCCACAAATATGGACAAGGCACAAAGACAAATAATTACTAAGGATGGAAGACTACCAAAAACATTTTTTGAGATGACTGAAAACATGGACTTAATCGACACTTGGAGAATGAAGAACCCTCTGGGTAGAGAGGGAACGTTCTACTCTGAGGCTAAAATGACATGGACAAGAATTGACCAAATTTGGGTAACTAGAGGACTGGCCCCAAAGATTAGCAAAGTTGAAATCTGCCCTAAGACCTGCTCTGATCATAATGCTGTGAAGATGGAATTAAAACTGATGCCAACTGGTTCCTTTAGATGGAGGATGAATGACTCTTTGTTTAGGAATGAAGAATTTACCAAAAAGGCCCAGAAAACCCTGAGAGACTACTTCGAGATAAACATGAACACTACTGTTGAAAAAAGAGTAATTTGGGACGCAAGTAAAGCCGTCATGAGAGGATTTTTGATACAACAGAATGCAATTAAGAAGAGAATGCAAAATGAGAAAAAAGACAAAATTTTGGAAAAAATAAAGGAAGGAGAGAAGAAACTGAGGGCGAAACCAAAGTCTCAGGAGATTTTGAAAGAAATAAAGCTATATCAAGTACAATACATGAAAATGATGAATCAGGAAATAGAATGGAAGATTAAACAGATGAGACAAAAGACATTTGAATTGGCAAATAAGTGCGGGAAATTGTTGGCTTGGCAACTGAAAAAAAGACGAAAACTAAATACCATCACGAATCTGGAAGTGGAAGGAAAGAATATACAGAATCCAGTGGAAATCAGAAAGTGTTTTCAGAGGTATTTTAAACAACTATATACACAAGAAAAGCAGAATGAAATGGACATTGATAAATTCTTGAAAATAAATGGACTACAAAAAATTTCCCAAGAAAATAAATCAATGCTGGATTATCAAATAACGGAGCAGGAAGTAGAAGGGGCCATTCAGAATTTGCAATTAGGTAAATCTCCAGGACCGGATGGACTGACTTCTAGATATTACAGAACTTTGAAAGAATGGTTAATACAACCTTTAAAGGAAGTCTGTAATGAAATATTGGAAGGGAAAAGGGCACCAGAGTCGTGGAAGGAAGCGTACATCACACTTATACCGAAATCAGAGACTGAAAAGACGCAGCTTAAGAACTACCGTCCCATATCACTGCTTAATGTGGATTATAAAATTTTTGCAGATATTTTGGCTAGAAGATTGAAAAAGGTGTTAGCAGAAGAAATTCATAAAGGCTTTCTCCCGGGCAGACATTTGTCTGACAATACGAGGAATATAATTAATCTTTTAGAAAAGTACAAGTGAAGATTAATACTAAAGCAGTTCTGATTTTTGTGGACGCGGAGAAAGCCTTTGACAATATTTCTTGGAGTTTTATGAAAAAGAATTTATTGGGGATGGGGGTTGGTCAAGGTTTTGGAAACGGTATAGGTGCAATTTACTCAGAACAAAAGGCTAAATTAATTGTGAACAATGTAGTGACGGAAGAATTTAAGATTGAGAAAGGAACACGACAAGGTTGCCCAATCTCTCCATTGCTTTTTATATCGGTCCTGGAGGTTTTGCTAAATATGATTAGAAGGGACCAATTGGTAAAAGGTATCCACGTGGGAGCCAAACAGTATAAATTAAAAGCATTTGCTGATGATTTGGTATTGACTTTACAGGAGCCAGAATCAAGCACTAAAAGAGTATTAGAACTGATCCAAGAATTTGGTCAGGTAGCAGGTTTCAAGTTGAACAAGATGAAAACTAAACTTTTAGAGAAAAATCTAAATGAGATTGAGAGAGACAAGTTCCAGAAGGAGACAGGATTGATATTGGTTAAGAAAGTGAAATATTTAGGGGTAAATATGACTGCTAAGAATGTGAATTTATTTAAGGATAACTATGAAAAATGTTGGACAGAAGTGAAAAAGGATTTAGAAATATGGTCACATTTGAAGCTATCGTTGCTAGGTCGAATTGCTGTTATTAAAATGAATGTATTGCCAAGAATATTATTTTTGTTTCAAACATTGCAAATTTTGGATAAAATGGACTGTTTCAAGAAGTGGCAGAGAGATATCTCTAGATTTGTCTGGCAGGGCAAGAAGCCTCGTATAAAATTTAAAATATTAACAGATGCCAAAGAAAGAGGTGGATTTGCCCTGCCAGACCTTAAACTTTATTATGAATCAGCCACATTTTGTTGGCTGAGAGAATGGATGCTTCTTGAAAACACGGACGTGTTGGATTTGGAAGGTTTTAACAATGTGTTTGGTTGGCATGCATATCTGTGGTATGACAAGGTTAAAGCACATAAAGCGTTCAAAAACCATATTGTTAGAAAAGCACTGTTTAATGTTTGGGTAAGACATAAGGATTTGCTAGAAAGTAAAACCCCAAGATGGTTGTCACCAATGGAAGCTAAGGCTCAGAAAAAACTCAATATGGAGGCCAAATGGCTGAAGTATCGTGAAATTTTGGAACAAGAGGGAGACAGATTAAAATTGCAGAGTTCTGAAAAACTAAAAAATAAAGTGCGTGACTGGCTCCATTATTATCAAATAATAGAGGTATATAATGTGGATAAAAAAATAGGTTTCCCAGTGGAAAAATCAAAATTGGAAACAGAATTATTAGATTCTACAGTTAAGAATTTGTCAAGAATGTATAACTTGCTGTTGAAATGGAATACTCAAGATGAAACGGTGAAATCTGCTATGATTAAATGGGCACAAGATGTTGGATATAACATTATGATGGCTGACTGGGAACAGTTATGGAACACAGGTATGAGGTTTACGGCATGTAATGCCTTAAAAGAGAATTTAATGAAAATGATCTATAGGTGGTACATAACACCAGTCAAGCTTGCAAAAATCTATCATCTGCCTGATAATAAATGTTGGAAATGTAAGGAGACTGAAGGTACTTTCTTTCACCTTTGGTGGACATGCCCAAAGATTAAGGCATTCTGGGAAATGATCTATAATGAAATGAAAAAGGTATTTAAGTATACCTTCTTGAAGAAACCAGAGGCCTTTCTCTTGGGCATCGTCGGCCAATTGGTGCCAAAGAAGGATAGAACTTTTTTTATGTATGCTACGACAGCAGCAAGAATACTCATTGCAAAGCACTGGAAGACGCAAGATCTACCTACCCGGGAAGAATGGCAGATGAAGCTGATAGACTACATGGAATTGGCGGAAATGACTGGCAGAATCCGAGACCAGGGAGAAGAGTTGGTGGAAGAAGATTGGAAAAAAATTAAAGTATATTTACAGAAATATTGTAAAATTAATGAATGTTAGAAGGATGCTGGAAAGAAGCTATATGGCTTTAGTAGAAATGTTATCAAGAATTAGGTAAGAATAGATTGATTATGTGTAAAGGTGTAAAATTTAAGGCTAAATTGCGTTAAGATAAATTATGGAACTAAATTTGAGAAAGAGGGAAAGGACTTGCTGAAACAACTAATTGAACTAGAATACAAAAAGGGAGGTGTGAGGAAGTCAAGGAAATAAGCAAATGAAAGATAAGGACATGAAAATACTGGTTCTTTTTTCTTTTCTCTTTTTTAAATGTTTTTGTCTTTTAAATGTTTTTGTTTTTTCTTTCTTAATGTTTTGATGTACTGTTGTTCTTGTTTTTTTACTGTATTTCCCCCCCCCCCTTTTTATCTATTTTTAAAGTTTTGTAACCTTTTATTGTATGCTTTTCTTTTTTCTGTATTTGTTAAACTCTAATTAATATCTTTTTTAAAAAAATAATAGAATCAGTCATCCATACCCTGTATGATCCTTTTTCGTACCCCATGAACAAACCATGTGCCCCACGCTTCCCAAGCTTGTTGCTCTGTGGGGTGTGTACCCACATGTCAGAACCAAAGATTCTCATGTGCTTGACGTAAGGTTTCTTACCAAACATCTTCTCATAGGGAGTACAACCAATAGGTGATGACAGTCTCCTGTTATAGGAATAAACAAACATGGACAAAGACTCCCCCCAAAACTTCTCAGGGAGATTGGCATCATGCAACAAGGTTTTTAGGCCTTGAAGCAAAGTCTGGGTTGCTCGCTCCGCAAGTCCATTCATCCATGGCGATCTAGGCGTTGAGAGGTCATGCTGGATTCCCTTCTCAGTCAGGAAAGCTTCAAACTGCTGAGAAGTAAACTCCCCGCCTCGATCAGTAAACAAACAGCCGATATGTTTACTGTGAGCATTCTCCAACCAAGCATAGAATGCCTTGAACCTAGAAAACGCTTCCGATTTCTGCTGGAGCATAAACACATGAATGTACCTGGAAAAAGAATCAATTAAAACCATGAAGTACCTTGCTCCACCCAAAGAGGGTGCAAGTGGACCAACCAGGTCTGCATGGACTAGCTGGTAGGGTTTGGAAGCCTGCCTGCTAGACTCCTTGCCTTTTGGAGCAACCTTCACCTTGTTCTCTGCACAAGATACACATTTCATGTGATACTTACAGGGCTTGATGTTCAAACCCTGAACCAACCCAGGCATCTTGGCCAGTGCCTGCCAAGACATGTGACCAAATCTTCTGTGCGCCTCGTGAATGCATCCTGCATGAAGAACTTTGTTAGTTTGTGCAACACAACAAGAATCAACATTAGACACAGCAACAGCATTGTCATCATAAGTTATACAGAATAAGCCATCCATAAACTTTGCATGCAAAATGTCCTCTTTGCCGTTCCTGATGACACAGACGCTCTTCTTGAAGGAAATCTCAAAGCCATGCCCAGTCAGCTGTGGGACACTGAGCAAATTGTCTGCAGAATCTGGAACATAAAGTACATCTCTGATGGTAGTGTGCAGACTTGCCAGTCTCACATTCCCGACTCCTGCAATTCGCAACGTCTTTCCATCAGCCTGGTGGATCTCTCCATCTTGAGGCGTTAAGGAGATAAATAGATGTTTATCTTTTGCCAAATGCTGTATGGCTCCCGAATCTACAACAAATCTGGCTTTGGCCTTTGGAGCAGCTTTTCCAGCAAGCAAAACCTTGTCTTCCACCGGCTTGGGCTGCTGCTTGCCCCCCTTCTCCTGGCCATCAAACTTGCCTTTGGCTTTTGGAGAAGCAGTGCCAGCAAACAAAGCCTTGTTTTTCCCTGGCTTGGGCTTTCCACCCCCCTCTGCTTCTGGCCATCTGCTGGCTTCTTCCTTTGTTTATTTCCAGTCTTTGGACAAACCTTCTGAGTGTGACCTTGGGTCCCACAGTTCCAGCACTTCACAGCTGCCAACACTTTGGCTCCCCCTGGAGGCTGGAATGCTGTCCCACCTTGCTCCCCCTGAAGCGCACAAGCCGACTCAGCTGCATTCCTCCTATCATATTCATTTTGCAGGGTCGCCAAGACCTTTGTTGCAGTGAGGTCCTGTGCAGGTAGAGTCACCAGCTGACTTGCCACGGCATGGTAGCTTTCATCCAGGGAGTCCAGGATGAGAATTGCAAACAGTGACTCAGGCATATTGAAACCTCTCTGAGTCAATTCCTGTCTGAGATGCTGCAAATGTAAAACGTGGGCTCTAAGGTCTTCCCCTGGCTCCAAACGCTTCCTGTGCAGCTTTCTGAAGTAAAGCAACACAGACCCAGCCTCTTGTCGGAGATGAGAGGCTTTAAGCCCATCCCACATCTCACGGGCACTGGCCTTGCCAGCCAGGGTGATTAACTCTTCAGGAGCTACTGAGAGCAAAATTATCCCCATGGCTCTTGAATCCTGTGCCTTCCATTCATCTGTCACAGGGGCTGGGGGGTCCTCAGAAATAGTATTCCACACACCAAGCCTTCTCATCTGGCCCTCACAGTACCTTGCCCAGGTCTGATAGTTGTGGCCATTTAGCTTTGGTGGACACCGAGCAGCTTCTGAGGATTGTAAAAGATCCATCTCAGCTATTCACTTGAGCCGTGAGCCTTTTTCACTTCAGAGGCTCCTTATCTTGGCTACTCATAAATCTCGAAGCCTGCTTGGCTTGGCTCGACTCCCAGGCTAATTAGCCGGCCGGAGTTCAAAGTCTCTGCCACGGCAACAGGAAAGCCTTACTTTCGCTTTTCCCCACATACCTCACAGCAGTCTGTCGCAGTCTTACTCTCCTGTAAGTGCCATGAATCTGGGACAATAACCTGTTGTTGGGATACTGCCAGGGAGACAAAGGCCATCATGCCCCCACGTCGATTCTGGATGATCCATCGATCTCCCGTAGATACAGTATCAGTCAATTAGCGACACAAGCCTCAGAAATAGCCTGCCACATTCCAGGGCTCGTGCACGCTCTATCAGCAGAGTTCGTGCAATGAAAGGTGCACTCAGGAGAGCATTATTTACAACTTTAGTCAGTGTTGATCAGAACAAAGAAAAAGCATGACTGCCTGCTTGCGTGTCCAGACGCAGAGAGGGAAACAAAAGCTCTAAACAAAAGAGAAACTTCCTGTGAACAGGAAATACGCAGGCTGTGACACAACAACCTGCTCCCTTTTAAGGTGGAACGGAAATATCCTAACAGAGAGGGTTTATATAGTGGCGGGTGATGCCCTTTTGGAATATTTGGCCAATTAAGTGAGGCGGGGAGTCCCTCAAGGGACGGAGCAGCAGCTGATTTGCTACCTGTGCTATGACAATGCAAACATGCATTGACGTTCTTCAAA